GCCTGGCTATTTTTTGGTTGCAGCCGTCATTGTTGTTTTTTGGCAGGCCCAGGCTGGATTCGAACCCGCCACCTTAGGTGTATGTGGCTGGCACCTTAGCCACTTGAGCCACAGGCGCCGAGCCAGTTATGCTAATTCTTAAGATTATTGAACTTCTTTTTCCACTCATTTGTTAAATTATCAATGCAATTATAATGCTATATACATATGAACATCCTTTTCCCCTTGATAAACTGAGCCCTTCATCAATTAAATAGCCCCCTTTCTCTCTCCAGTAATACTTATCTTAAAAGTCAACTTTATCTTATATAGCTGGTTGCTTACATAGCATAGCTTTCTCCATCCTGCTTTCATTCTTCCTGTATTCTAACATTTGTCTCTTTGCACAAAGAATATAGCTGGTTTCTTTTTAACTCATTCATTCTGACCATCTTTAGTTTCAACTAATGTAATCTGTTTACATTTGATGTGTTATGAAATTGCTGTTCTTTTTTTTTTTTTTTTTTTGAGACAGTCTCACTATGTCACCCTCAGTAGAGTGCTGTTGCATCACAACTCACAGCAACCTCCAACTCTTGGACTTAAGTGATTCTCTTGCCTCAGCCTCTCAGGTACCTGGGACTACAGGCAGCTGCCATGATGCCCGACTATTTTTTTGTTGTTGGAATTGTCATTGTTGTTTAGTAGGCCAGGGCCAGGTTCGAACCCACCAGCCCCAGTGTATGTGGCTGGCTATCTAACCATCATCTGGCTCCCAACCAGCTACGGGTGTCAAGGCTTTTTTTTTTTTTTTTGAGATAAGAGTCTTACTGGTCTTACTGACCTCAAGCAATCTTCCTGCCTTAACCTTCCAGAATGTTAGGATTACTGGCCAGAGCCACTGTGCCCAGCTGAAACTGCTACTCCTACAGGTTAAACACTGGCAATTTCATGTGGTTCACCTAGTACTGACCCTCACAGTGAATAATAAAATGATTTGCTATTTGTTTTTCTTATTATTTTATCTTCCCTTTCCTGTCCTCTTTTGCTTTAAGCAATTTTTTCTCCTCCATTACTTTATCAAATACACATTCTTTTACGTTACCTTAATGACTGTGATATGTATCTATAATTTATGAAATTTCATATAAATTAGTAACTTTTACCACTTCTCAGACAAGGCAAGGACCCTGGATCACTAGCTCCATTTACTCTTCTTTCAACTTACGTGCTATTACTACACATACTTTAATTCCATGTATCTTTTAAAGCCCATAAGTCATTATTATCAGTATTATTTTTGTACAGCCAATATTCATTCATATTTGTGCACACAACTGCCCTTTCCAGCGCTCTTCATCCATCTAGAGTCACTTTCCTTCACCCGATAGAACATTCTTTAGTACTCACTGAGGATAGTCTGTGCTGGTTGCAAATTCTCTGGTGTTGGTTTTTTGTTTAATTTCAGATTAATATAAAGGAACATTAGGTTACGTTATTTGCAATTGTTAGGTAAAGTCCAAGTTATAGTTGAGCTCTTCACCTAGAAGTGTGCCATATACCCCTACACTGTGCCCGTTAGGTAAGAGCTTAACAAACCTCCTCCCTCCACTCTGCCCTTGAATTGTGTTCACCAATCACGTGGGCATGAAGTTATTCTACTAGTTTCATATTGAAACTGAGTACACTGGATGCCTGCTTTCCCACTCTTGAGATACTTAGGAGGATATTCTCCAAATCCATCTACGTAAATAAAAAGATGTAAAATCTCCACAGGATGTTGGTCTTAATAATTGCTCCTTTGAAGGCAAAATGTCTTTTATTTTCTGGTTGTTTTTAAGACTCTTCTTTGACCCTAGTTTTTAACAGTGTTACTATAATGCGCCAGGGCATGATTTTCTTCATAGCTTTCCTGCTTGGTAGTACAGAGCTTCCTTAATTTGTAGTTTGATAATTTTCATCAGTTTGGGAAAATTCTCAGCCAATTTCTCATCAAATAATAGCTTTTGCTCCATTCTCTTTCTTCTCTCCTTCTAGAACTTCACTTACATATTAATACAAAGACCTTTTGATCATATTCCACACATCCCTTACATTTCTTTTTGTATTTTCCACCTTTTTCTCTCTCAATGCCTCAGTCTGGATTTTTCTTTCTGACACATGCTGTTTCACTAATTCTCCCTTCAGCCGTATTTATGCTACTAAACCAATCCACTGTTTAATAACCGGTTCTTATGTTTTTCAGGTCTAGAGTTTCTATTTCATTTGTATCATTTTGGCTCTCAAAATCATCAATTTCACATATTAATCATAGATATATTTTTAAGCCCAGGACTGATGAGAAATATCTGTAATCCCTGTATGTATATATCTATCATCAATTTTTCTCTTAGTTTTCAGTTCCATCTTGTCCTTTTATTTATTTATTTTTTGCTTTTGAGACATGCTGGGGCATCATAGCTCACAGCAACCTTAAACTCTTGGATTCAAACGATCCTCCCAAGAAGCTGAGACTACAGGCACTGGCTGCAACACCCAGCTATTTTTTTAGAGACA